TTTTGATCAGATTTTCTCTTTTTCAGGATTTATATTGTTCTGTGGGTCAAATCTAAACATGTATCATATTTTCAAGATCTTTTATAACCTATATAATTCTCTGATTACATTTATTTTATGCTTATAAGCATTATGATCTTTGGATTTAACTTTAGGTGAATTCAGTACACATTTGTTAAAATATTATCATCATCTTCATTCTCATCTTTGCCTGTGTGTCTTTGCAATGCTAGTCTTCCAGCTTAGATAGCTAAAAATAATCTTTATTCATTATTTAAGGCTTATCCTTGAAGCCCTGTTGTCTGTTTCATTCTCCTGTGTTCCTACTCCTAACAACCATGCACATACAGACTGAATTTTTAAATTTAATACTGTACTGTGAGAAAAATAAGTAAAAACTAATGTCCTTGAATCACGTTCTCTGAAACTACTAAAAAATATCATGTTTCTTTCAAATGTTAAAAGCAATGCAGGATATCTTTTTAAAAAATTTCCAAGTCTCATGATGAATAGCCTTATTTCAATATATCAGGCAAGAACAAAATAAGAATATAGAATCAAGAGAAGAATTTAAGGACTATATACTGTTGTGGTAGTTTAATGAAAACCATTCAACATAAATGGGTTTTGTGTTGCTATATAATCAGTCAATGTACCTTTTGAAAGCATTATTCTAATCTGGCATATATTTTTCTTTGATTACAAATAGTCATTATGGTCATGTCTATTGCACAGTGTAATTTAAATAACTAGCTGGGCAAGTAGTAATTTCAGATAAAATTTTGAATACATTATTTCTAATCATTACTCTTCCCAGAATGTAATCCACCATAAAGAAGAGCTGCATGTTATGTTACCTGAAATGTTCTGTAGTTCTTTTGTAACTTTTCACTACATTGAATGAAAGCCTGACAATTATCAAGAATATGAATAGTAATAAGTATTGGTGAGGATGTGGGGAAAAGATACACTCATACATTGTTGGTGGGACTGCAAATTAGTACAACCACTTTGGAAAGTAGTATGGAGATTCCTGAAAACTCTAGTAATAGAACCACTATGTGGCCTAGCTATTCCACTCCTCAGTACACTTCCAAAAGATTTAAAATCAGCATGCTACCATGATACAGCCACATCAATGTTTGTAGCAGCACAATTTACATAGCCAAGCTATGGAACCAATGTAGGTGCCCTTCAACAAATGAATGGATAATATGGTGTGTATACAAACGGAATATTCTTCAGCCATAATAAAGACTAATATGGCATTTGTTGGTAAGTGGAAATTATCTTACTAAGTAAACTAAGCCAGTCCCCAAAAGTCAAAGGTCATATGTTTTCTCTGGTTAGCAGAAGCTAATCCAAAATAAGGGGAAAGGGAAATAAAAAAAAGAGAGAGAAAAAAAGGAAGCATAATTTTAATAAAATAGAGGAAAGATCAGTAGACAAAGAGGATTAAGGAGGAGGAAGAAGGATGGGGAAAAGGAAGTACAGTAGAGTGAATCTGACCATATTGTCATATGCATGGATATTACATGGTGAGTCTTGGCATCAGGTGTATCCACAGAACACTAATAAAAAAAAAAAAAAAAACAACTGTAAATGGATTGAAGAGGGTTTGGTGGAGTAGAGTTAGGGGAGCAGAAGTAGTGGGGGTGCAGAGTGGAAGAGCTAGGAACTGAATTGGAGTTAGTTATGTTCCATGCTTTTGTGATAATTAAAAAAGAATAAATTTTTTAAAAGTAAAAGAAGAAATAAAAACCCCACAAAGCAGCCTGGCTTGGTTAACATTAGATAAACTTGTTGAAAATGTATAATCTAATCTCCTGGATGCTGATTTAGTGTATTATCTGCATGCAAGAATGACTGTCATTTGTTTTACCTTTGATGTGAATCGTTCAATGGCTGAGTGACTTCAATTACTTTTTTTAAGCAAAAATCTTTATGTATCCTGGTAATATGTTTTTGTTCATTCCTAAAGTCTAAAATAATTTGTTGCAGGAGACTATCTGGTAAATTAAAAAGGAATTCTTAGATACACAAATTAAAGAATATCATGTTGTATAGCAATAGAAGTTGTTTTGAAAAAAAAATATATATATATATAAATGTGTGTTGAATACTTTCTTTGTTATTGCTCATATATTATATCACTACTCATTAATGCATAGAAATTACATTAGATTAATAATTGTAGATGTGTTTTGTAACTTCACATATTTGATATTATTGAGAATATTTTCACGATGTAGGTGAGATTGTTTTCATTAGTTTCTGCCTTCTGGTGCCTCATACCAATTCATTAATAAAAAAGAAATGAGAGACACCACTTAGCTTGGTAGAAATTGTTCTTCCTGCAGACAGTCTGGCTGAAATTTTTCACAGGTAGTGTGAAGAAGGTCATCTCCTGATACGACCATGGTCCAATATTTTGTTTAAATATAGTAAATAAAAATGTCTTAATATTACCAATGACTCAATCCTCTTCTAACATATCCTGAAGTTGCCATGTGCCTGTTCCCATGCTATTCAATTCCCTTTCATTTTTTGATGGCTTTGGACCCTACTTCCTATTACTCTTTTTGACACTTACTTGCCTCAATTCCTGGCAATTGAAATATACAATGTAAGAGATCTTTCTATAAACCTCTCTCCTTGTCTTTTCCTGATGATCTTTTCCTAAAATACCTTAGCCATTGACTCCCAGTCATATCCTTGAAGGTAACCTGCAGATCCTCCCTAATCTAATTCATGTATCCCTATCTGACAATATCTTCTGCTTCTATTTCTGCCTTCCTGACTCTGGTGTATGCTTTTATCAAACATTTGTCTTTTTATTTTTTAACCTCACTTTATGGAAAGTTCCAAAAGTAGAAAGAATAATACAAAGATACCTCCTATATACAGTAAACCATCCTCAAAAATTATGAATTTATGGCGAAATTTTATTTCATTTCCTATAATGTGAAGTAAATACAAGTCAAGATTTTTTTCCTCTGTGGCCATATTAACATGTATATTTAAAAGATAAGATACACACTAAACCTAAACACACACAATTCCTTAACATCTACCTGTCCTTTAAAACCAGAAAAACATTCAACTCATTGATCTCGTCCCCATTTCTCTGTCTCCCACAGTCATAGCATCTTGTTTCCACTGTATTTCTAGCCCAAATGACTAACTAAATGATTAGTCATTTATGCATACCTTCAATTCCTCTGTCCTTTCTCAAGTTGTTACACTGTATGGCAGGACCACAGCCATTGTTAAATCAAACTCTCTGGCTATTCCGCACCTGCACACCTGCAGCTGAACAAGGCCAGAGAATAAGTCACAATCATTATTTATATACTGTTCCCATAACAAGTTTAATACCTGGTGAGTCCTTATGCTAATCAGCAACCAGACTCTATTTTCTTAGTCGATTTCCTTTCCTACCCTTCTAGATGACTTCTTGGTATCCTTTCCTCAGACCTCTAAAATATCTTTCTAAAGCTTCACTCTCAGTTGAGGACCACATTTCCCACAACATCAAGAAAATCCACTTTCTCCAGTGTCTCCAGCACATCCCGTCTCCTACCAGAAACCGCATGTTTGTATGTGGCCTTTAGACTTCATAGGATCATTTGCTGGTTTGTACAATAAATGCTATAATTCCTTTGTTTTTGCACTAGATTCTATCCCTCATTAACCACTCAGACCCAAAGGCCTTGCTCCAGGAACTCTCCTCTTCCCACCTCCCCTCCCACATTCTCTTGCATCATTTATTTCCGCTCTTTACTGGAACATTTTAGTAGTAGATACATGCTATTATTTTTCTCACCTTAAAACAAAACAAGTACACCTTCTCTTGACACAACTTGACCTGCAGTCTTGCTTCATTTCTCTGCTTCCTGTTTATAGCCAAATTATAAAAAACATAGTTGTCTTTTGCAGTTATATCCAGTGTCTGTCCTCCCATTCTTTCCCAGACACCTTCCACTAAGGCTTTTGCTCTTCCTTTTCACTAAATCTGATTTGGTGCTCCAAATACCCTCCTCCTTGATACTGTGCTTGGATTTCAAGATGCCTCCTTGTTGTTACCTTCTCTTGTTTTAGCCCATTTTAACTTTGGAGTGTCACAGGATTCATTCCTTGATCTTCTATTTATCCTCTCTCCCTTGATGACTGGAATTCAATTATCTTCACACCATTGACACCTAATTTACATTTCTGGCCCAGACCTCTCTATTCAGCATTCTATTTGGATATCCAGACCCCTCAAACCTAAATTTCCTTCTTAATATTGAACCTAAAACTTACTGTACCTGCTGTCAGTTCTTTCTTTGTGAGGCAAAAAGTTTTAGAGTTGACCTCCTTTGCCTTTTTTTCCTCCTCTTTACGTGTACTCCATTCACAAGTCCTTTGGGCTCAAATACCCAGCATCGCCCATCACAGACACCACCATCTTGGTCCTCACCATCACCTCCTGTTACAGTTGTTCTATTTCAAACTTTGCTCCCACTCCTAAAGTCTGTTCTTTTTTGGGGGGTGGGAGGGGTACCAGGGATCAGACTCAGGGGCACTTGACCCACTGAGCCACATCCCCAGCCCTATTATTTGTTTTATTTAGAGACAGGGTCTCACTGAGTTGCTTAGTGCTTTAATTTTGCGGAGGCTGGCTTTGAACTTTCAGTCTTCCTGCCTCAGCCTCCCTAGCTGCTGGGATTACAGGCACGCCACTGCACCTGGCTCTAAAGTCTATTCTTAACACAGTATCCAGAATTATTGATTTAAAACATAAACTATTATTATAACAAATCAGCATATATGTTTTTGCTTATTTTTAATATATCTTTTATTTATATAAAATGTCATACTTATTAGTATATGATTTATGTATATGTATATATGTACATATTTAATTGTTTTCCATTTTGTCCAGTTTTTACTGAAACTAAGGAATTTCTTAATCTTTATTATATATCTGAAATTGCTTCCTATCCTTTCCTTAACAGGTCATTGCTTTAGTGATGGATATGTTTACAGATGTGGACATTTTCAAAGAAATAGTGGAGGCATCAACTCGGGGGATATCTGTATATATTTTACTCGATGAGTCCAATTTTAATCATTTTCTAAATATGACTGAAAAGCAGAGTTGTCAAATTCAACGTCTCAGGGTAAGAATTCTATTTTTTTCTCAGGCATTTTTGTGCATCATTTTCTTCTCCTTCAGTTTAAGTCATGCTAAGATTAATCATTCCAAAAGTAAAAAGAAAAAAAAATGTATGTATACTGAAGGTGATACAATGATTGATCACAGACAGGCCCCCTGGAGCTTTTCAGAATATGCCTAAAAACACATCCTTATACAAGGCTTTTCTTAGTTAACTTTGCTAGTATATTTAATGCTTCCATTTTGCAGGTACAACCTTGATCTACTGACAGGAGTAGTGGCTATGATTCAGCACACATTGCTTGTCAAGATCATTTGGCGTACAGTTATCAGTTATGTTTGACTTTTGAAAGGAAGATTTTAATTTGTTATTTTATCTTCATGATGCTATAATTCAAAAGGATTTGTCACAACAGGATCCTAAGTAATTAATAAAATCATTCTCTATAAATATAAAGCACCAGCTACCGATTCTTTAAGCTTTGTTGAAATGTATTTTATAAATGATCATTTTTCTTGAGTAATTTTTGAGAGATTTTTTCAAAATTTTTTATGTGTTTTAAAAGTTGAATTTAAGTAAATGTTTTGTTATTAAGGTTTTCTATTGATATATATTTGACTTTTCAAAATATCTCCTTTCTAGCCATAATTTAAATTTATATTTACATATAATTCTAGAATATTCGAGTGCGGACAGTAAAAGGTCAAGATTATCTTTCAAAAACTGGGGCAAAATTCCATGGAAAACTGGAACAGAAATTTTTGTTAGTTGACTGCCAGAAAGTGATGTATGGCTCTTACAGGTAAGAACATTGTGTTTGTTTTCAGCATTATCCATCATTTAAATAATTAAGTTTCAAATTTTTATACAATCGACTTAGCTCGCTCTTAAAAACAAGAAAGGAATGCTTCCATAGAAGATTGGAGACCATGTTTCACTCTTGGTCCTGCCTCTAAAGGATTAAGACTCTAGGCAAATCCAATATTCCCTAGAGCTTCAGGTTCTTCTTCTAGAAAATGAGGAATTTGACTAATATCTTAGGTTCCCTACAGCTCTATAACACTACCCAGGTAGTTTTTCTCCTGTGAAAACACTGTACAGTGTACAATAAGTAACAACTACTACTTATAAAAATAGAAGCTCTTCACTGCTTTGAAGAGACTGTTGAATAGATTTTTCTTATTTTGGTGTTATTCAGCATCTTATCACACTAGATAGGCAGCCCAATCCAGGTCAGGCTTATCCAGAATATGCACACTTGTCTACATTCCCTTTTAAATCCTGGCATTAATCCTGCATGAGATACAGGATGAGGCTGTGTGAACAAGCAGATAAAAGTACCTGCAAATATCTGTGTAGTGCCAGGTCATCATGGCAGTGCAGATTCACTGTTAAAGATGAGAGAGACCCCAGAAGAGAGGTAGATATAAATAGGAGTTGGGGGCGAGGGGAGTCCATGGTCTCTTTTTCTTAAAGCTTAAAAGATCCCAGGAAGGAGGAACCACACTGAAATTGATGGCCCCAAGCAAGTCACGTAATTTGGTTGCACTTTGATTTGCTGAGCTGAAAATAAGGATATTCATAGGACTTGCCTCATATGACATTGTTATGAAGATTAAATGAGTTAATGCATCCTAAATCCCTAATCTTAGCTATTATTTTAGGGCTTTGTTCTAACTATTATTTTCTGCTACCATTCCCTTTAAGCTCAGGGAGTTTTGTTGTTGTTGTTGTTGTTGCTGTTTGGAGTTCCAAGTGAACACTTGTTAAGAGCAGAAATTACAATTAATGCTTAAAATTAATGAGTTCTTTTAAAGTCTTATTATATGTGTATATATTTGTTCAGACCCACTTAGTTTTAGTGTTTTTAATTAAAATTGCAATTAAAATTGAGAGCTTATTTGACTCACAGAATAGGATTTTCTTATTTCAGTTCATCATAATTAATGCTTTGTGTTTTTAATATTTAACTTGACTTTTAAGATTGTCTTCAGTAAGAAATTTCACCTGAACTTTGTTTTGCTACCACTAAGTATTAATAGGTGCCCAGTGTTCAGATAAATGTAGCTAAGCTGCTTTATATTGATGTGGGGAAAAATAGATAATTGCAATCACCAAAACCAATACAAAGCAAAAACTCTATGTCGTTCTATCTATCTATCAGAGGTATAATTGGAAATTAACATGGAAATCCTAGGAACACAGATAATAGCAATTCACTAAAAATTCTAACAACTTTATTCTCTTTGTTATTTCCTGTTCATTTTGATTATACTTCTTTAAAATTTAGTGGTGGTCAACCATTTTTATTTTGTTTTTCTTGACTGACTATCATAGGTCTTTTTTAATGTTAACAATATTTTCATGGATTCTGTTGGAATGGTTACAAACCAATTTGATTTTAAAAAGTATCTCCTATACTTTGAAAACAGCCTTTGTCTTTCATATTCTGGTATTGCCATTATATTCCCCACAGGCAAATTGAAAAATGGCTTCTTGAATTCAAAATTGTTTGCTGTGAGATGTCAATGGGTTCTAAACTCCCAGCCAGAAGGGCCTGGAATTTGTATTCACACAGTCACACATCTGTCGTCTGATAGCTCACACATCATGGTGATAGTTTTTATACAATAGGCTTTTTGCCATAACATGATAATAACACTGATGAGATAAAACACTTAAATATTTTTTAATCAAAGTGTATAAAAATATCTTGAATTTGATAATTCCCATTTGAAATTTTCATATAAAACCCTGTGAAAGCATTTTCCACATATTGAACCAAGAAAGAATTTTATGAGCTTCTATTTCTTAAATCTTATGATCTCTATAAAAGTTACCTCCCAAAGATTCACTGAAGTTGGTGTCTCTCCAGTGCCATTTGTGATCAGACATGAAGATTATCACATTTGAGATTCATACTACAACCAGTATACCATCACTATGTACGCCCCATGAATTTTACTTTTTAACACCCTGCCAGGAACCCAGAGTTTTTTAATCCACTTTTTGGTATGAGAATTCATAGCCACACTTCTAACTTCATGACTAATATACATTCGTGTGTGTTTGGAGGGGGTGGGAGTAATTTTTTAAAATCAAATATTACTAAAAGATATGTAGTACAAAACAGCATTTCTTTTTTTTTTTAATCTGTACTCACTGTTGCCTCTGACCTCTAAATGTAATTATTCACTTCCTTGAGCTAGTTCTTCTGATTCTTATTCCATTCCTTCAATAATGTGAGCATACTGTTCTTTCTTCATTTATCAATTTCAATTATTGTATCTTGGCGTTTCATTACAGTAATTGAGGAATTGTATTTCTCACCCTTTCACATTCACTTTCCTTTCTTATCTCCAGTTTCTCAATATAGTTTTATCACAAGTTTTGCTAAATGAAAAGTCCAGGATTGTCTGAATGCAGGCACCTTCAAGTCCTGATGCACTGGGGTTCTGAACATTAATTGTGTTCAGTGTGGCAAGGCAGTGCCAGGTCACAGTAACAAGGGCATTACCCTAGATGGGATAAAAAGGCATGGCTCCAGGAGTAGGCCTCATCTGGTGGGGTTAAGTTCCACTCACCTGTTCCTTTGTAATCCCTATCCTTTTGCCCTTTGGGGGATAGAATGTTCCATAGAACCTCCCCTTGTGTGTACCCTATAGAAGAATAAAGAATTCTAGTGGCTCTCTCTCTTTCCACTGACCCTTATGGTCGGAGAGCCATTTTGAAAAGATAGTTCTGTGGGTTTGTGTGCTTTCTTTGTCATTTTCTTATGTTATTGGAATAGTTAGATTTTGTGAAGCCAGCATTAGGTCACCAGCTAGGATAGATGGCGATATATTCACATCCACTTTCCTTTCTTATCTCCAGTGTCTCAATATAGTTTTACCACAAGTTTTGCTAAATGAAAAGTCCAGGATGACATTATTGAAATTCTGTCAAAATTGATCATTGTTGAGCCATGGAGTAATTTATGATATATGTCTTAAGAGTGAACAATGGCTATTTTATTTTTGCTTTTATTTATTGTTCTTGTTTTATCTCTATTGCTACTTTTGCAGTTGACCACACAGGTTTTGCAGCAGATGAATGAATTTTCCAAATACTGAGTAGCTGACAACAATCTATAATGTCTAACCTGGCCTCTAACCAGAAGCACAATTAGAGCCCTCCTATGTCCCATATTCCTGGCTGGTTTGATCTGTGATCTGTGATTTCTTAAATCCTACTTTTCTTTGTTTTTGTTTCCATGTTTCTCCTTGTCTCCCAAGTTTGCTCAAGAACATTTTAAATCCCCAAATTTATAATTCTAGGTGATTTGAAGCTTAGTTTCAGATGGAATTCTTGGCTGAATCATTTTCCTCCAAGTTTGGAAGGTATTATAATCAAAGTTACTGTTGAGAAGTCTCAACAATTATTATTCCCATTCTTTTAATGTAAATCTTTTTTTTCTCCTTTCTTGAAGTTCTAGGACATTTTCCCACCACCCTAATTAGTTTGTTCTAATCTATATCTATTCTCTTTTTTTTCCAGTTTATTGAGGTATAAAGTTAAATTGCTGATTTAAGATCTTTCTGCATTTTTAATGTATGCATCAACAGCTTTCCCTCTTCTCACTGTATTCCATAAATTTTAATATGCTGAATTTCCATTTTCATTTGTCTCAAGGTATTTTCTGATTTCTCTTATGACTTTCTTTGACCCATTTGTTGTTCAAAACTGTTAATTTACAAATGTCTGTGGACTTTTCAGTTTTCTTATGCTATTGATTTCTAGTTTTATTCCATGATAATCAGAGAAGGTACTTTGCATGATTCAAATCTTCCTTACATTGTTAAGACTCCTGTTTGACTTTAATATGGTCTATTCTGGAGAATATTCTATGTCCATTTTTTTTTAAATTTTAGTTTTAAATGGACACAATACCTTTATTTTTATTTGTTTATTTTTATGTGGTGCTGAGGTTTGAATACAGTGCCTCGAATGTGTGGCACAACCCCAGCTCCTACTGAACGTCAATTTGAGAAGAATATATATTCTGATTTTGTTGAGTGTTCTATGTGTGTTTATTCCACCCATTGGTCCATAGTATTGATCAAATTATCTGTTTTTTGGTTGTTCTTCTCTCTCGTTCTATTTTTCAAAGTGGTTACTAATTTTTTACCCACTCAATTTTGCCAAAGTTTGCTTCTGAATGATTGATGATAAAGATGATCAGAAGTTGCATAGAAAATATTTATCAAAGTTGAACTTTCAATTGAGTGATTGTCTGGGGTCCTGGAAGTTTTATAGAAGGATCCACACATGTCAATCAATATACATAGCTTGTCTAGGGCTGTTCAGTGTTTCCTGAGAATAATCTCTTTCCATGACCGTTTAATAGAAGGGGGCAAAATTTGGAGGTGATGTGGCACTGACCAGAGGTGGGGATTCCCTTTTCCAGTCTGTTTCTGCATTACAGAAATAGTCTATAACAACAACAAACTAGGAAATGAAAAAGGAAATGGGGGCCTGGTAATTCTTGTTTTCTGCCTCAGCTTCGCCTCTGCCTTGTGCTGCTTAAAGATCCTGAGCTAAGATCTTATGGGGGTCACTTTCTGATGAAAATGTTGGAAGAAATGGTGAATGGAAGAGGAAAGAGAAGGGAATTTATAAGCCCAAGACTTTCCGTCAATCTCCATTTCCCTGTTTCATATCACTATAATTGAATACCACATACTGGGTAATTTATAGAGAAAATAAACCTATTTCTTAAAGTCCTGGAGACTGTGAAGTGCAAGGTCAAGGGGCTGCATCTGGTGAGAGCATTCCCACTGGTGGGGATTTTCTAGAGTCCAAGGCAGTGCAGGGTATCACATGGTATAAAACTTGATAGCTTGGGTCTTTCTTCCTTTTCACATAAAACACTAATTGCATCATGGGCATCCACCCTCATGACCTCATCTAATCTTAATTACCTCCCAAATGTTCTGCCTCCACATACATTAGCATATGACTTTGAGGATTAAGTTTCCAGCACGTGAATTCTGAAGGACACATTCAAGCCATAGCAATGACCTACCATCTGTTGTACACTTTGCTTCCAACATTGAATCTATAAATTTTGTATTGGCCCAAATGGCTTATTCCCATTGGTACTCAACTTGCACAAACTTCCTCTGAATTGTCAGTTACCACTTTTCCTTTGGATTTCTCCGCTTCAGAATACATTGAATATTCCCACCTGTTTCCTATTCTCTTTGCTGTCTTCCTAGTATTAAAAAGGAAAGAAAAAGAAATAAACATGCTTAATAAACAAATTTAACTAAACCCTTTAAATTTTCCACAAATGTAAACATCTCTGCCTTTTAATCTTCTGTGACTTAGAAAATAATAATTCATTTATACTCTCATGTGTTTGTTTATAGCCAATATTTAAAAGTGTCTTTAATATGCCAAGCACCATTCTTAACCCCCTGAGAATATAGTCCTCAACAAGGTCAATAAGCTGAGAGAAGTTTTATTTTAGTGAGCAGGGAAGACAAAGAGAAAACAAACAATAAAATATTAGATAGTAATAATGAGGACTGGAGCAATCAGACCAGGGGAATAGGACAAAGCATGATAACATGGCTACTTTGACTAGAATGATTAGGAGTCAGTCAGTCAGGGACTATCAGAGGGAAGAAAGTATGTTCAAAGAAACAGTAACAACAAAAATCCTAGGACACATCATCTGGCGGAGCTATTATCTCTAGAGAGAAGACCAATGTGGCAGGAACATCTTCTACAAGGAGAGAGCTCTTCAAGGTAGAACAGGAAAGAATGTAGAAAAGGTATTCTCTTAGGCCAGGTAAGGAGGAGTTTGGATTTCATCTTAAATAAATGGAAAATTCTATGTAGGAATATGACATGACCCAATTTATATCTGAATACGTCACTTTTGCTACTGTTAATTGAAAAATAAGCAAATGAAGAGGAGCCAAGTTAGCAGATGACACCTCAGACTAAGATCATAGGAAACAGGAGAGATCTGTGATTGGTTTGGGAATCAGAGTGATTAGGACCTGATTTTCTTCTTCGTTCTGGGAAAGAGAGCAGCAGAGGTAGCTCCTGTTTTCTATCTTGATCGCCTGAAAGGATGATTGAGCCACTGACTTAAATAAGTAAGATTGGGGAGGAAACAGGTTGTGCGAAGAGAAGCATTGGATGAGGATAGATGACATCTTAGTTTTATAAAGTTCATTAAAATTGCAAGTTTATATTGCAATTTTCCAGAGATAAGGAAGAGGTCAGCACTGATAAAACAGATCTTATTGACATTTAGATAATACAAATTACCAAGGATGAGAGAGGAACACAGGAATCTGTCCCCAAACCCTACAGAATGCTCCTTTTCTCCAGATTCTCAGATTTACTAATTAAACATATTCAATCAAATGTCTTCCTGTTCCTTGAACTTTTATTAAAATATTCTGATTTACTGAACCTAGAAACTTTTTCCAATTGTCATACATTTACTAGTAGCAATATCTTCTCAGGTTCCTAAACTCGACAGCTGGAGGGTATTTTCACTTCATAACCTATAGATATTTTTTATGGCATGAAGATCGGGTCCTTTCTTTTTCCTACTGGCTCAAGTTTTACTCATTATTCCAATTTCTGCTAAAGTCTAGACTCTTACCTTATTCTTCATAGTAACTACAGTTCCTCATCTTTCAATCCAAATTACAGACAGACACTAGAAAAAAAAGTAATTCTTGAAACATCTCTTTTTACTGTAAATTATCCAATTTCAGAAACAAGTCCTAAGCAATCCAACGTTCTGCTTTGCTTTCAAGACTTCTCTCCCTTGCTTTCACAACTGTTTCACAAAATCCCTTACATAACTCTTTTAATCCAACTAAATATATTTAGTTCTGTGTTTGACTGAAATGTAGATATTATTGCTTCCCTTACTTTTCCATATGTCTCTTTTTCCACACAAATTGTCTTCCCATGTCTTTCATGTCTGAACTTCTGAGTATCTAGTCTCTGTCAAAATTTCGCTAAGCTCCCACTCTCTTAAGGGATTTCCACATACTTTCTAGTTATTTATTTCATTACTTGATTACATGTTATATTCATATCTTCAATTGAATTGAAAATTATTTATTGACTTTTGTACCATTTCTTTTAAGTCATCCTGGTGGCTCACATATTCACATAAAAAGCAGCTGGTAAATATTCTTAAACCATGCATTCCACCAGTATTAACAGATAAGCTTGAGCATATCAGCATGGCAAGATTCTTAAGTGTTATATTGTTGTTTTGTGCATTTTAAATTATTACTATGCAGGTTTAAAAAAATCTTTATGTTTGTGTTTGTTGTTTCCCTTTATAGATAGTAAGATATTTTAATGTAAAATATGTCTCTGTCTCATTTCTCTTTTGTATAAACCCCCATTGTGTTATGTACATAGCATATGCATAGCATATTAACAATGCATTTTTTTCCAGCATAGTGGTTCTTTATATCATCTATGTTTTCAAAAATCAAATTTAAAATTTGATAGAAAATTTCGAGAGCTGTCACCTCTAAAGGTGAAAAGGAGTTGAAAGTTGCATAAAGTACTGTAAGTCATTACAAACCTTAATGTCTTATAAATTGCATTCTATATTAAAAGATCCTGATTGACATTTTTGAGTGGCATGGCTTATGAGGACTATAGTTACTAGTTCTGTGTACACTGAGTACAGGGAAGTATGCCCATTAGTGTTTGAGGCAGCTGCCTATAAATCCTGTTCACAGCTCCCTGCAACCTAAATTACACTTGCTGAGTAAGCCACAGAGATAACAGTCTGAAGGCATTGAGACTTTCAAAATACATGCATTAGCACAGGCCCATCTTGCATTATTACATCCTAGGAGCATAGGGTATGGTAGCTATTATACTATCTATGTCCTTATTTTGGACTTGGTGAAAGTGAGGTCCAAGCTCATGTGGCTATATCTCTGCAGAAGCCAGGCCTCCCAGCTTTTCCTCCAATACTGGCTTTTCTATACCCTGGCAGGATAGTATATGTGAAATATAATATTGTTTACTCCATAAAATCTTGGTAGGCAAAGATGAAAAATGCACAGCAAGCTTTTCTCTGAGCTTCTGGAAAGTAGTATAAAAAACTCTTGAGTGGATTTAATACCAGAAGTTGAGTTGCTTTGTTCTTTGAACATAGGAGATACCTACATTACAGGAATAAATAACTGAAAAATTCTATAAACTATGCTATCTAAGCAGAACAAACACAAGTATTCTTTTGTTAATATTAAATGACATTGTAGAACTATATATTATCATCATAATTTTAACCTAGCAAAATTATAATTTTCTTTCTTTCTTTTTTTTTTTTTTTTCAGCTACATGTGGTCATTTGAAAAAGCACACCTCAGCATGGTCCAGATAATCACAGGGCAACTTGTTGAGTCCTTTGATGAAGAATTTAGAACCCTCTATGCCAGATCCTGTGTCCCCAGTTCATTTGCTCAGGAGGAATTGGCAAGGGTGAAACATGGCAAGGCACTTTGGGAGAACGGCACCTACCAGCGATCGGTTTCTTCACTAGCTTCTGTTTCCAGCCAAAGAAACCTCTTTGGCAGACAAGACAAAATTCATAAACTAGATTCTAGTTACTTCAAAAACAGAGGGATATATGCCCTAAATGAACATGACAAATACAACATAAGGAATCATGGATACAAACCTCATTTTATTCCAAACTTTAATGGTCCAAACACAATCCGACAGTTTCAACCCAATCAAATAAATGAAAATTGGAAAAGACATAGTTATGCTGGGGAACAGCCAGAAACAACACCATACCTGCTGCTTAATAGGGCTCTGAATCGAACCAATAATCCTCCTGGGAATTGGAAGAGGCCTTCAGATAGCCTCAGTGTGGCCTCCTCCTCACGGGGAGGCTATACAGGCCACCATGATACACCCGCCCAGAGTTTTGCCAATCGGCTTGCCCAGCGAAAGACAACGAATCTTGCAGAAAGGAATTCGAATGTGCGGAGGTCTTTTAATGGGACAGATAATCACATTCGCTCTTTACAACAACGAATGCCAACCCTGGAGCACACCACTAAATCATTCCTGCGCAACTGGAGAATTGAATCCTACTTAAATGACAATTCAGAAGGCACGCCTGATTCAAATGGCTCCGCTTTAGGTGACCGATTTGAGGGCTATGATAGCTCTGAGAATTTGAAAGCCAATGCCATTTATACTCACTCTCGGCTTCGCTCCTCTTTTGTATTTAAACCAACTCTACCTGAGCAGCAAGAAGTTAACAGTTGTACAACCAGCTCTTCCAATTCAACTATTGTTGATTCCCAGGGAAGTGACACACCTCAAGAGATCCCAGATACCCCTCCAAGTGTACAGTATTTGACAGAGAAACCTTTACCTGAATCAATCCCCAAGCTTCCAATACAGTCAGAAGCACCAAAAATGCATACCTTGCAGGTTCCTGGAAACCAGTCACCAGTCGTAAACCAAACTACAAATACCCATGCAGAATCAAACAACTATATATATACAACCCTGTGTGTAAATAAGCAGGCAGAAAATCTGAAGAATCAACAAAAAGAGAATCTTCTTAAAAGACGCAGCTTCCCATTCTTTGACCATTCAAAACCCAATTTAGATCATGGAAATAGTAAGCATTATGTATATAGTACACTTACCAGGAATCGAGTTAGACAACCAGAAAAACCCAAAGAGGATTTGCTAAAAAGTTCTAAAAGCATGCACAATGTGACCCATAACGTGGAGGAGGAGGAGGGGGAGGAAGCCTCTATCAAGAAAGATGCTCCAAGTGGCACCACCACCAAATCAATTTCCATGGCTGCTTTACTTGATGTGAATAAAGAGGAACCCAATAAAGAACATGCATCAAAGAAGGAGGTAAAGGGTTCCCCAAGTTTTTTGAAAAAGGGATCTCAGAAGTTAAGGTCATTACTTAGCCTTACCCCAGAAAAGAAAGAAAATCTATCCAAAAACAAAGCACCTGCATTTTATAGAATGTGCAGTAGTTCTGACACATTAGTATCTGAAGGTGAGGAGAATCAAAAACTAAAGAAATCAGAACCAAAAGCTGATTCATCTCCTAGAAGAAAGCGTTCTTCCTCATCAAATTCTCAAGGTAGCATTCATAAGAGTAAGGAAGATGTAACAGTTGGCTCAATTCAGGGGATGAATCCTCCATCAGATGAAAGTGGCAAAATAATACCTTCCCCAGGTCAAGTTGAAAGAAAGTTCTTGGAGAGGGCAGGAGATGCCTCTGCCCCAAGATTTAACACTGAACAGATCCAATACCGCGATTCAAAGGAAGTGAATGCACCTGTTGTTCCTGAAAGGAGAGCAACCTCTTCTCCAAGGCCAAAGCCCAGTGAGCTTCTACGAACTCATTCAACTGACCGGCGTGTTTACAGTCGATTTGAGCCATTTTGTAAGATGGAGAGCTCTATGCAGCCAACAAGCAGCATTCCAAATACCAGTGTAAATCGCCCAGAAATAAAACCCACAACAATGGGTAACAGTTATGGCAGATCCAGCCCAATGCTTAATTACAATGCTGGTGTTTACCGCTCCTATCAGCCAAATGAAAACAAGTTTCGAGGATTTATGCAAAAGTTTGGAAACTTTATCCACAAAAACAAATGAAATGCTGAATGTAGCTATGAATATTTGTCCAAAGAACACAGTGGATAGTTGTTATAACATGTGCACAGGTTTCTGTAATGGAAGAACTGTGGGTGTGACTTACATGTTCACCAGCATAGTAGTGTACAGCAGTTATTGTTCTGTATGATAAAATTAGTTGTGCTTAATTACCCTATAAATGGACTTTCTCTGTAAAGACATGATTTTAAAATCGTAATGGTAGAAAACAAATGTAAACTAAATTGTTTTCTTCAATCTGAAAACTCTTAAGTGTTTTATTAGAAACTTGAGTGAACAGGTGGTACATAGATTTTGACCATTCATTCCAAAGTCTGTGTTTTTGAAAAAAGAACATACTATAAAAAGTGAGGCTTTATGTCTTTATGATGTTTTCACATATTGAAATATATAAGAAAATGTGATAAAGCCTTTTTTGTTTTTAATTAACTTTAAATTTACAGGATAACTTGTCATGTTTTTTAGCTTTACTGTGGAGCAGTGTACAATTGTTTGGGAAAGAATAGTAATATTTAAACTATATAGTTCACCACAGTTTTTGATTTTGCTTAAGTGTTTGCAAAGTATCAGCCTCATGTGTACAACAATACTCATAGGATCCTGTTTCTTAATCTTTTAAAAACCATCTTGGAGGTGCCTCTTTCCAGTTTGGATCCAGGCAGGCTACACGCCCTGCTGCCCCCCCTCCCCCCGCCAATTAACTATCCATCTTCTATCATCATGATTTAGTCAATTTATAGCAAGCCAGAAACCTAGACTATATATCCTGCTTTTTCTAACATATAAAGACTTCAGAAATATAATATCCTGCCTAAATTTTTATTTTGGTTTAACATAACAGTACTGAGATGTTTTGCTTGAAAAAAATAATTGCTTTTTGAAAAATGTGAGCCAAATATTATATGACAGCATAGTGCTTTTACAAGAGTACCCTGCTGAAAGTGAGAACTAGGCCTAATTTTTCCATTACTGTAGGACCTGGTTGGTTTTTAAAACTTTCTATATCTTGATTTGATGATGATATTCAGACTAATGATATCCTTTGCCTCTCTTAAGTTAATGAAATCAAAGCTCCATATCCCTTGCAAACACTTACCTTGATTTTTCTTTATACACAGGTATAGAATTTGAGAAACAATGGATCATGTCAGAAATGTGAAGTGCTTTTCTGACACTTTAAATGTATCATTTAACATCTTCTAAGTCACTATGAGGGACATACATTGTTTTAAAAATGCAAGATTCAGTCAAATATTAATATCTGTAACATTAAATTAATTAAAATAATGACAGTATTTAAACACATGAAAAGAAACATGACAGAAAAAAATTGTGACAGTAGGAAAAAGAAAAGCTTAACATGTATTGAACACTTAACTATAGACCAGGCCATGAGCTAGAAGCTTGAGTTGACATGACCATATTTTGTGGGTGACATTTTCCCCAATATTTATATTCATAGATGATTGGTTTGATAGTTGAGACTCAGGGAGATAATGTCCCAAGTCACATAACTAATAAGCAATGGCTCTGAACTGTCTGTCACATTCCGTCACAGTCACTACCTCCCAGACGGTTCAGTGCCTGCCCTGCCCCACCTGGTAGGATTAAAGCAAAGTTATTTCCTGACTCAACAGTGATCAACCAGGAGAGGTTAAGCTGAATTTCACCAGATAACAGGGACACACAAACCTTAAATTAACTATCATAGGTGAGGTTGAGGGATTAAAATGAGATTAAGTTCCGAATATAATCTAATGGGGCCAGTTTTAATTGCTAGGAAGCCATTGTCATCTCCTGCCACCAGAAGACCTGTGACAGTGAGAGTACAGCCAAGGGAGCCAGAAGTGAGTTCTGACCTATAGGCTGTGGGCTAGAGAAGGGTGAATCCAGTCAGGAAGCTCAGTGTTAAATACGCTGTCTCATTAAATATTTACAATGACCCTGTGAAGTAAGAATCTCCTTTTACAGAAGACAAAATGAGCTCTGGAGTGGTTACATGACCTTTCGAGAGTCACATAGCACTGAATTGGCAGAACTGAGGTTTGAGCACAAAGCCTGTATTTTTCATCCTATGCTGCACTATACTTTGCTGGCCACTCCCCTGCTGTTCTTGAAGAACTCTTGTCTTTTGCTCTTTCTCCTTTTACAAATCATAGAAATATGCCAGTAACTGTACAGAAATAGCATTTTATAAATACAAATCCAAAATGTATACTTAGTTTTATATCATCCACAAAAGTAGGGTTTAAATCTCCCATATAATAAAGGAAATTCCCAAGTACTGCAACATGACTTTTTATTGTTTTGGGAAAATGAGTATCATCAACTTGAAATTTTCATACTCCCTAAGAAATTAATAGCATAAAAATAAAACTTTTCGAGTTTTCATTTATTACAGGAAAGGTAACCAATTATATTTGCAGAAAACTTGATTAATAATAACCTTTGGAATAAGTATTTCTTTGTAAATCCGACAAAGGATTCCATGGCAATGAGAGACATATTAATTATTTTGTTGGTTAATTTTTATAGTTACCTAGAGATTGTAGATCTTCATGGGTTACTGTCAGGTCACTAAAAAGCATTACAATTGGAGCTCAGTGGGTGGAAGAGATTATTCATTTTGCTCTTAGCAAAATTTACTGTGGTAATTCTGGATCATAGTTCTTCACCCACGTTCTAAAGTCCAGAACTTACAGTTCACCAATCTAGATGGACTTCAATATCTCTTCTATTCTTTATTGGTACTGGACTAGGCATCTATCAGAGATAAGAGGATAATGAGCTAATTGGCATTAGGCAGCTATGAGATAAAAAGCCCTGAAGTTGAGTGCAGTGTGACTTTAAAACCTGAAATGATATAGAAACCAAAACTTCCTGTTCAAACAACAGTCTGTTGCCATTTTGTACAGCAACTTATATAATTTCTGGAAACAAATAGCTTTTAGGTACATCCTTTTAAATAGTTACTGAGCTCTTCCTCTTAGTGGAATTGGGGAGTTTTTAGGATGCTTTATTCCATCCACCTTGACAGGTAATTTAGGGTTTTGCACAACAGATTTATTCTCCTTTGCCTTTTTTCTTTGATTGTTTTCCTTCTATTTTTCCCTCCAGAAATACCTGTACGACAGAATATGTACATAATAACCTTCCAAAGTTTCTGAGCTGATAAATTCCCCAGGGTTAGGACAGAGCAAACACATAATACTTCAAAAAAAAAATGAATCAGTGTTTCATTTTTTACTGACACTAGCCAAGTTTGTGTACATAATAATTTCAAGCAATACAGTTTCTCTTTTTCTCCCCCATATTATTATTATTGGAAAGATAATATCATGTAGATGTACTTTGATATTAAAGTTTGATAAGGCAATTTTTGATTCCACATAGTATATTAGTTTATAAGCAGAAACTCAAGAAAATGGGTATGATTTCAAACTAGTTGATAGTTGGCTTCAGAATAGAGTGAATAACCCTGCATCCTGAACACTTTATGTCCCTCTATTATGATGGAGATGCTACAATTCTGACATGGTGTCTTGAGATATTGGGTACATGTTGTCAGTCCACACTGATAGAAGCACGAATCTTGTTTAGCCAAGGCGTTTAGCCTAGTGCAATCCAGATAAACAATAAAAGAGGTTGGTTTCTGGATGTATTCTAATTTAGCTTTATTCAAGACCTATCCTTATTCAACTATTACTCCACAAATATTTTATTTGGTAAATATCTGTTGATTCTTAATGTGCCTGTGGCTAGGGGATATAAAGTAGAACCATTGTTTTATGTTAATTAAACTTGTGACTTATTTGTGATGTTGTTTTAAAAATTATCATAATATTCAGTTTGGTTCTTTAATTCTTAAAATCCAAAAAGAGGAAATAATACACCAAAGAGTCTGTTTGTTAAATTTTTATATACATACAATGTTACAAAGAAGTATTCTTCCAAATTTACTTTTGTTTTTAGATCAATAAATGAATATTAAATAATTTTGTACAAACATCAATGCATTCTCAGTGTTTTTTTTTTTTTTAATCTGTATACCCTGGATTTCTTCTTTCAAGTACACGCACTTAGTAACTATAACCAGTAATTTAGATTGTTATACATTTTAAAATGTCTCCATGAACCTTAAAATCTTCTCTAAAACACTTTTATTTTGATTAGCAACTGCATTTCATATAATAATTGGCAATGCATTTCAGTTAAAAAATTTATTCACATTTGTTATTCAGTGACAATACTCTTCCCTTGATAATATATGAAGTAAAACGCTACATAATGATGTTTAGTCTAAGGACCATATACATGAAGGTGATCCCAAAAGATTATAATGGAGCAGAAAATTCCTATTATTGAAGCTTTCTTGTGTTTGGTATGTTTAGATAATAGAAAGTTACGATGGTGCTGCATTTGCCCACAGTATCACTACTGTAACATGCTACACAGGTGGTGGCCTAGGAGCAGTGGGCTGGCTAAACCACATGGCCAAGGTAGGTAGTGGCCAATACCATCCAGGCGTGTAAGTTCACACTATGTTGTCAATACTATGATGAAATCACCTAGTAACGATTTTCTCAGGCACTATCCCCATTGTTAAGAGATACTTGCCTTTATATTCATCCTATTATTATTTCTGCAGGAATAGTTACTTTCTTACTCTCAAAATATAGAATATATTTTTTAAAGAAACTTTAATAGCCAACTTATGTAAAATATGGTAGCATTTGGTTTTGAGTAAAATATTTTGTAGATGTATTTGTATTAGATAAACATTAAGTAGCCTATAATCTGAAAGCTAGCTATTTAGTCAGACACAATAACTTTATTTATTTTTATGTAGTGCTGAGGATCAAACCCAGTGCTTCCCATGTGCTAGGCAAGCACCCTACTGCTGAGCCACAATCCCAACCCCCCCCCGAAAGCTAGCTATTTAAAACTCAAAATTCCTTACATATATCACATCACAGATGATGACATAATTGATATGCTACATATTATATATTAAAAGTACTTTCCTTCTAAAGGAAAATGTGATTTTGAAGTAGTATAATGACAAAAAAAAAAGATTTATTATAAGTGATAATGTTTAAGAAACCCTGATTTAACTGGGGTGGTAAATAGGTAAGGTTTCACTTTGTGGCTGCCCTAAAGGAAATTTATGAGTAGATTCAATTAGTTTGAAGATTCAAACACTATCCTGAAGTAATCAGGCCTAAGAGAGATGGAAGGACATTAAAGGGCTTATGTGTGTGTCCTCTCTGGGGAATGAAGAGGAATTACTTGAGCTGAAAGCAATGAGAAACAGAAGCAAGGCATCTATATAATTTCTCTGAGCTAACAGAGCTCAGGGTAATAAGTTGGGCATTTCTCCCACCATATTAATCTGTTTCAACAGTCTGGCTCATTGATTCCTTGAACACTAGTACAAGAGACCTACTTTGTTCCAAGTATGTATGTTGAAGTCGATTTTTGATGTAAAAAGAAAGAAAAAAAAAAGGATGGCTGGGTATTTAGAGGCTGACAAGTTTTCATGACTATTTTTCAATAGCCTCAAAGTCCACATGTTGCTTGAGGGATATTTATCTAAATTATGCCTTTGGTCTACTCTAGTGCCCAGCAAAGGGTACACATAACAGATGCCTAATAAATATTTCATAGATAAATCTCTGGCTGCAGTTATGAAAATAGTTTATTAATATCCATACATTAAAGTAAACCTTTTATAATTACCATTTATAATTACCATTAAAAGGCACAGACAAATGCAGCAGAGGTCCACATCTAAATTTCAGCCTCCTTAACCCTAGGATCTGTGCAGCTTTATAGATGCAGCAGGGCTTGATCTTCCTAAAATATATATTTGTGAAGGGGAAAAACATTCTGTTGAATTCATTTCAAAGGAAAAGGAAGTAGAACTATAAAAATTTAAGTTAGAAGACAATTGGCATCAAAAAGAAAGGAATTAGCGATTTTGCATTAGTAATTTAGATTGTCAACTAACACATTTTGGCAATGTGAGAATGAAAGGACAGAATGGCTTCTCTAAATAATTTTCATAGTGCATGGAATCAGTTCTAGAGTGACAGCATGGAGCACCACAGCTTCCTGCTTACAACAGCAGCCTCTCTAATGTTGAAAGGTTATGGCAACAACTGCAGACATTTTGCTGGGCAACAATTAGGTACATCTGCCACTTCGGAGTTAAGCAAGAGTTGGCAGCATTGCCACAATAGGCAGAGCAGAAAAGAGTAGACACCAGGAGGTAGCCAAGAGGGAAAATCTCCCTGGAGGCTCCTAAGACATAGTTGGTCAGAGATCAGAGGTATGCAGAAATTCCAACAGAGCTGATACAGATGGGAACTTCTTTCCCTTGTTTTTATCAGGCTAGAATAACTCAGGAAATACAAGTCATATCTATAACACACAAACAGTCTCCAGAATGTGATTGGCAGAGTGATCTCTGCAGTTTCACTTTCATTAGAAAGAGGTCAATGTAAGTAAGTAAATAAATAAATAAATAAGAGCAAGGCTCTTACCAGGGATTTATTTTATAAAACAGAATTTGGTTTTCTTCCTGATGTTAGCATATTTTGCCTCTAAATTCCTTTTTGTTTTTCAAGGCATAGGAATAAAGATTTTTAAGAATCTATTTCAACTATCAGGCAGATTCATTTAGATTCATAAGGTTTGTTTGTACATACATTTGGTTTCTTTGGTTACTTGTCTTCAAACCTACCAAAATTTACTTTTAGGTACCAGCCAAGGCTTAATCAGATATCAAATTAAAATAAGCACTCTAATTAATAAGCTCCTACAGTAAAAGCTCACAATTAGATGTTTCCATAAATGGGAATTCTAAAATACTTGGTTTCATTTCTCACTTTTGTCTCTAGGCAGAATAAAATATTGTTTTTTTAAAGACAGAAGAAAATCCTATTGTGTGTTTCACCAATTTAAGTACAGAAAGAAATATTTAGTATTTCAAAACATTTTTTAAAATGTTTTGTATAATGCAAAATCAGACAGTATTGTTTCGACTAGGAGCCTTCACAGTATTTGACTCAGGGAAAGGAATAAGTAAGTGCTAATCTCATTTAATTTCCAGAAGAAAAATCTGGGAGAGATATTTTGCACTTAAATCATGATAATATAAAGATTGTTTTAAAATAAAATTAGATAAAAATAGAATAAAGAGCACAGATTGGGGGACATGGGGTGGAGATGAATGTTGCTTCTGTTTTTTGACAAATCACTTTTTGATACTAGACATGTATCTTACTTCCTTCCTGTTAATAAACTGATAATATTTTATTTCATAGGCTTATGCAAATATTAAAGACATTTACTTTGTAATTTGGGTCCACTTAAAAGAAGGGCACCTACTAATTAATAAAAGGGTGGAATCATCATCCCCCTAGCATTAATTACTTTGTTGCTTCTTACTTAGGCAAATGTAGTTATAATTTTCAAGTTCTTAGTTTTCTCCACTGACCTCCAAGTTTGAAAAAAAAGATTGATTTTTGGATGCTGTAAAATTAAAACTTCTAGTATTTGAAAGTAAAATGCATTTTTAAATGTCATCTAACTTAAAATATTTCTGCATGATGTACAAGGAATATAAAACCAGAGGTCAGAGATTGGCTGAACAAAGTAACTCAGGCGGAGCATGCGGGCAGCAGGTGCTGCCCCTGGGGCCACCTGGACTGGAAGAATTCTGCCACCGCCACCAGTGACACGCATGGAGTAGCGAAAGCCCCATCAGTCACAGTGGCAGAACCATTTCCTCTCCTCAGAATTCTAAATACAGTGGTTTAAGGGATTGTAAGATTTATTGATGTTTAAGGAACTTGGGAAGTTGTTTTTAAATTATCTCATAGTGAGGAGTCAAACTGTTTGGGATCCTGACAGACCATCTACCACAGGAATAACACACCTCCATTGGGCTAATGACAAAACACGTGTTTAGTATTACAACCAGACTAGACTTTCATATAGATGACATTATTGATTTTAGGTTAGCTATAAACAATTTCATGCCAATTTCAATATTGACTAATTTAGGCAAAGGTTTTTTTTTCTCCATAATATTATGTGAACTATAATAATCAAGAACCATCTATATGTCAACATTTTCATGTGCTTACTCACTTATTTTCCTTTCCACACCTAGAAATTATCTTGTCCTTATGTCTTCCTCCCTATGTCAGAGTAATAAATCAGGGGCTTGATTCATTATGTATAATATTAAATGATGTATATTCAACACTGTCTTCAACATTATGAGGTATATGTCTCAAGTGCATGTGTGGACATCGTATAAAGAACAATACAGAAGTACAGAGACTATAACAAATGTTTAGGTGCATATGTTCATTTTTATCAAGTCTTTTGTATCTTAAATATGATATATAGATGAATGTCTATTACATTTTCCAATCTCTCATTTTTGTCACTGTTTAGATGTCTACATGGCTTGTGTATATCAAGAACTTAGTGTACGTGGCATTTCATTATCAAGTATATTTGATTGGTTATCTTATGCTTGAGACTCCAATTACTTGGTGGTGACATTAAAATAGGTGGCTCAGTGGGACCACAGAGCATTCAGCTTTATCACTGAACAAAACATAAAAACTGCTCATAGTTTACATGTGGCACCATCCCAGCAGGCCAAGTTTGTGCCATAGGAAAAAAAAAAAGAAAGAAAATGACCTTGGTAAATGGAAACATATTTGAAAATGTAGAATGAAATTCAATTAAAAAATTAGAAAAACAAAACAGAATATAGAACCAAAACCTAAGGAGAAATTTTCAAACTGGAAGTTTCTCTGTAGCTGCAAATCTAAACTGATCAAAAGGTAAGACTAGAAAGATTAGTAAAATAGTTTTGCAGATTATTAAACAGAGCAGAAAAAAAATGAATGTACATTTTGGAAGAAGTTTTTTCTTTTTATCTTTTT